GATTAAATTTCACTCCGATTCAAGTTCAAAATATTTTTATTTCAACTTTCTTTAAATTATTTTTCAAGTTTCAAAATTTTATTAAAAAAAAAAAAATTGGGTCACCCGAGGACCGAATCACCTTGTAAAATGCAAAAAAATCGACTATATCAGAATTCGACAAAAATCGACTAGATAGCTAGATTTTGCGAGACAAATCTAACGGTGAGATCTGTTTCTTCATGCAAGCTCTAGAAAAATTTAAGTTTTCAACCCGTACTGTAATGACAAATTACCGTTTTGCCCCTTTTTGTAAAAAGTTTAAATTTACCCGGGTTTTACAAAATCCAATTGCCCGTAATTTATCAGTTAGACGAGAGAACCAAGCTCTCAGAGTTTGTTTTAAGCCATATAATGACTTATGTAACCTGCAAAGATTATGAGGATATTGTGCATGAATGTAGCCTTGAGGTTGGGCCATATAAACTTCCTCCTCCAATTCATCGTGTAGAAAAGCATTTTGAATATCAATTTGCTTAATTTGCCAGTTATAAGAAATAGCCTAGGACAAGACTATTCGAATTGTAGCATGCTTGACAACAGGACTAAATTTCTTATTAAAATCAACATCTTCTTGCTGATGAAAGCCCTTGGCAACCAACCTTGCTTTTTACCGCTCTATGGAACCATCGACATGCCTTTTAATTTTATATATACATCGGCAACCAACGATGTTGGCCTTTGGAGGTGGAGCAACTAATGACCATTTCCCATTGCGTAGAAGAGCATCGAACTTAGCATTCATCGCTGCACGCCAGTGTGCTAACTTTACTGCATCACTATAACATGATGGTTCTACATCAGTAGAATTAAGAGAGCTACGTAATGCTTTCGGTAAAGGATACCATACAAAATCATCTAAGCTAGCTTTTGGTTTAAAATTATTGTTCTACAATCTAATAATCATGGCATGGATTCTGGTATTTCCTTGCATTACTAGAGGATCCGAGGTGGGTTGAGGTGGTTCCGCTGGAGGATATAGAATTTTCAGTACCTACTATGACTGGTGAGGAGACAGAATTAGCATGCCTAACAGGTGTTCCTTCGTCTATTCTTGCAGAGTGAGACACTAGAGGCACATTATGACTAGTGGCATATGGTATAATTCGGGATTGCATATCATCTGTTCTGGCAGTCGATGGTAATTTAAGATGTAAAGGTAAGGTGACATGTGTGGATGAGTAGGACTTTGAGGACGATGTAAAGAAGATATTTTTCTGGTAAGGAAACAAATTTTCATCAAAAATTACATGACGTGACACATAAACACGACCAGTTGATAAGTCAAGACACCTGTACCCGTGATGATTAACACTATAGCCAATGAAAACACATGATTTGTTTCTAAAATCCAATTTATGTTTATTATATGGTCTTAGATTAGGCCAACATGCACATCCGAAGACACTTAAGAAAGAAAAATCAGGGATCCGGTTATAGAGCATTTCATAAGGTGACAAATTGTTGAGAATGGGTGTTGGAAGACGATTAATTAAATAAGTTGCAGTGTAAAAGGCATCATCCAGTAAATTAGAGGTAAATTCGAATGTGCTAATAGACTAAGTCCAATTTCAACAATTTGTCTATGCCTTCGTTCAATTGAACCGATTTGTTGGTGAGTATGAAGGCATGTTATGCAATGACCAATGCAATTTTCTTGAAAATAATTATGAAGTATACGGTACTCACCACCCCAATCTGATTATATGGTCTTTATTTTATGTTCAAAATGTTTTTCCACATAACATTGAAATTGAAGAAAAACATGGGTTCAACATTAGATTTTAATTTAATTGGAAATAACCACAAGAATTTTGAATAATTATCCAGAAAACTAACATAGTATCGAGCACCTGTAGTTGAGGCTACAGGTGCCGGATCCCATACATCTGTAAAAATTAAGTCTAATGGAGAAGTAGAAACATAAGTAGAATTATGAAAAGGTAAAACATGACTCTTGGCTAATTGCCAAGAAGAACACACAAAGTGCCTCTTTATTTTATCAACTGGAAGCTTATTGAAGGACAAAACACGTTGAACAACTTGAGAAGTAGCATGACCAAGGCGACGATGCTACTGATCAAACGAAATGCGAACACTCGAAAGGGCTTGAGGAGAATCATTTTTGTTGGCAAAACGGTATAACCCAGTACTGACTTGGCCTTGATGAAGGACGGTCCCCTAGTAATCCTTCGCAAGAAAATATTTGTCATGAAACTCGAAATAAACATTATTGTCAATACAAAATTTCTGAACATAAAGTAATTTTTTTTGAATTTCAGGGACTAAGAGAACTTGATTTAATACAAAGGAATGAGATGATGTATGAAGAGAAGAGTTGCCAGTTTTAGAGATATGCAAACCTTGACCATTACCAACTTGAAGTTGATCTATACCATTATAGTCATCACTCTTTAGATTCAAATTGGCCATTGGTGAGTAGCATCTGTGTCCACATGCCAATCATTCTCCCAGCCACCGTTGTTGGCTGCAACAAAGGCTTGTTTATTTTGAGAAGGAAGAGGATCTTGATAGGTGAGATCGAAACGGTGGTAGCACTTGTGAGCGGAGTGGTCAAGTTTCCCATAGACTTGACACACAACTGTAGAAGAATTAAATGTGTCACTGCGATTATAGGAGGAAGCACCCCCTCCCCCGAGAGTTGTTATAGCTGCCTCTACCACAAGAACCACCTTGGCCCCTATTGTTGGATTGTTGCGGCTGTCTCTGAACAACATTCGCCTCACCAAGTGGTGCCAGAGTAGAAAGATGATGACAGTTTAGACGAGATTCAATCACAATTAAGAGAGAGTATACTTCCTCAAGTGTGACGTGATCATTGTCCTAATCCAACAAGAACATAAGAAATGATGTTGTCACATTTGAGAGGTTGGTTGTCCATAGCAAGTTCATCAACTAACTTTTTTATCGACAAAAAATAATCATTGACAGATTGACCGCCTTTCTTTGCATTGGCAAGTTGAGTTCGAACCTGGATGGTGCGAGCTCGAGATTGTGAAGAAAATTTTGTTTAAAGTTCTTGCCAAACCTCATGAAAGGTGGCATGAGAGACTATTTGAGCTAAGACACCCTCAATCATGGAAGACATGAGAGTCCTCAGGATGAAACTATCTTGTCGCAACCATTGAGAATGTGCAGGATTTGGAATTTGATTGATTGCACCCGTATCTGGATGCAGAGCATCAATAGTTTGGGGAGGGAGACTGAGAGTACCATCAAGGTAGCCATACAGGTCTGGGCCACGGAAATAGTGCAATAATTGTGCCTTCCAAAGAGGATAATTTTTAGGAGTCAACTTGATTGAAACAATATTAGAGATTGGAGTGATCGCAGGGATAGAAGAGGAGGGATTGTTGATGCTAGTGAACGAGGAAGGAGAGGAGGACATGATGAGACGCTAGTCTTTTGGTAGCTCTGATACCATGTAAGAGAATAGGAAATTCAGAAGGAGAGGCTATAGATGCAATTGTTTTGACTGTATGTTTCTGTTCAAATGTCATTGATACAAAGTTACTTTTTTATAGAGTTTGAGTACAACAAAAATAGCAACAGAAAATCTAATCAAAATCTATTTAAAAATTAAATGACAGTAAAAGATAGAGAGCAGATCAGTAGAGAATCAGATCAGTTGGACTTCCTATTCTTCCTCCAGATTTTCCTTTAGTTGACAGCTCCGGTTTCTGTTGCTTGATTTGTTATGCAGTTCCACGTTTTCTTCAACAGTCAGCATTATCTAATCTAGTTTGGGAGTTGGGAAATCATGATTCATTTTGTGAATTCGAATTATAATAGGATGGCTTATTGAAATACCACTTACCCATATATTAATAAATACCCTCTTCTTAATTTTTTTAACACAACTTAAAGTTTTTCTTGTGATTTTGTATTCTTTTTTTTTTTTTTTTGGTATTGCGATTAGAGTTGTCTAAAAGAACTTACATGCACCTTGATTAGTCTCTTATTCGGTCAAGTCAAAAACAAATAATACATACTAAGACTAGAAAATTCACAAGAGATAACAACATCCACATTTTTTTTTTCATGAATGCCCATTCTGGCCTCGAAAGTTGAAACTTTCAGAAAATTAAACCCTAAAATACATTAGATAAAGCATCCCCATGTCACCGAAGAAAATTAGAAAAACTCACTCCCCTCCTTCATAACCGACTAAACCAGCAGATACTACCTCAAAGCAAGCAAAATCTGCCAGAGCAGTCACCGTCTCAGACTCCAAACCCACCATCAAATCTGCCAGATCAGCAAGAAATAACTCAAAACCCATCATCCAATCTGCCCTAAATCAACCTAGAACCAACTATCCTCCCTATGCCGCCGCCGCCACCGCCACCGCCACCTTCACAACCCACCACCTTAGACCTCTACCCTTATCTCTCCCTACAAAAGATTTCAATGAGTCGGGTGGAAGCACATAGATGCCCATCCAGGCTACCCACTATATAAGCTAACAAACCAAAACAGTAATTGGAGACAAGGAGGAGAATTGTACTAATTTGTTGTTTAAGAGAGAAGGAAGAGGGGTGCTAAAAGCTTAGCAGTTAGGACAGTGGGGAAGCAACAACGAGCTAGGATCAATGTCTGGCTTGAATGACGAGTTGTTTGAAAGCAACCAAGGGACGGAGGGATCCTTGAACTGTGTTTCATGCTCTCAAAAAGCATCTATGAATGAAAAACTAAACACATACACTTTGTAACTATAAATTTACAATACAGTCAGAACTGAAGGCAGGAACTAAATACTACATGTGGGGCAAACCAGCAAAGCTTGAAGACACCATTCCAGTAGTCTGCATCCTAGGGTTATTAATCAGAAATTTCTTCCATGACCTCAAAAATCATGAATGACCTCAAAAATCATGAATAGACAATTGAAATGTACTATCAACCAACAATACAAAAGAGCTCGGGCCAACACCACTAAAAGATAATAAGACTGGGAAAATCCGACCATTATGAATCATAAGCTTGATCATTTACACTACCAACCAGTTAAGCATCAACATAAAACCAGGATTAACATTCTTAAAACATTACCGTTCATAAACAACTTATGAAGTTCAAGAAAGCAAAAAACATCCATAACAAAAACCCTAAATGCGTAAGATCCATACTTATGTGCAACATGCCAATTAATAGTCTTGTGATGGGGGAGGAGGGGGTGGGGGCATGTCCCTTCCAGGCATGTTCTGAGTCTGGAAAGGGTTTCCACCACCATTTGGAGCATAGCTGTTTTGATACTCTCTGTTTGGCCCTGGACCAGACTGATAAGGCATGCCTCCGTTGTTTGGCCCCGGACCAGATTGAAAAGGCATGCCTCCGTTGTTTGGCCCATTCCTGTACTGGAAGTTTGGAGCATTATTGGGCGGCACTGCTCCCATGTTATTGGGAGGCATTCCTCCCATGTTGGTTGGTGGCATTCCTCCCATGGAATTTGGGTGCGCTCCTCCCATGTTTGGTGGCAGTCCTCCCCTGTTGGGCAGAGCCCCCATGGAGTTTGGCGGTGCTCCTCCCATGTAATTGGGCTGCATACCTCCCATGTTATTGGGTGGCATTCTCCCCATGTTATTGGGCGGCACTCCACCCATGTTTGATGGACCTCCCACGTTATTGGGAGGCACTCCTCCCATGTTGGGTGCACCGGACATGTTATTGGGTGGTGGCCCTCCTCCCATGTTTGGTGCACCGGACATGTTATTGGGTGGTGGCCCTCCTCCCATGTTGGGTGCACCGGACATGTTATTGGGTGGTGGCCCTCCTCCCATGTTGGGTGCACTGGACATGTTATTTGGTGGTGGCCCTCCTCCCATGTTGGGTGCACCGGACATGTTATTGGGCGGCCCTCCTCCCATGTTGGTACCAGGGTTCTGCATGCTTTGATTTGCCATAGGACTTTGATAACCCCGATTTTCTCTCCTTCGTTCAAAATTTCTTGATCTGTCAAAGTTGCGAGGTCTATCATTGCGCCTATTCCTTTCATTTGCACGTGCATTGTTTCTCACCCACTCCTCATGATACTTGGGGTCATATGGTACAGCCTGACCATTTATAAAAGGTTCCCCTGCAACATGGAAAACAAAATAACAGGTGAACAAACAATCCTGCACGCTATGAATCTAGACAACAAACTATTCATAGAAACCACACTTCAATAAATGCAAGTTCATACCTCCATAATCCTTGTTCCTAACATCCAAGTAAGAGTCAGGAAGCACCCAGCGCACTCTAGGCAACTCTGAAAAAATTATAGAAAACAAATTCTTAAAACTTCTCTACAACGGAGTAAGAACAGAAACCAAGCAGCAATTACATGAAGTACCTTTCATCTTGTATGAAAGTTCCTCAGATATAAGGGCTCCAAATGCAAAGTAGTGTTTTGTCGAAACTGAATAGATTTTCATCCTTGCTTCTTCTTCACTGTAAAGTACAATAGAGACATCATAAATAATACCAACAGCACAGAAAGGAAAACCAAATGATGCCAATCCTATCACTTCACTACTTCAAAATAAAATGCACATACACCCGTACATATCATCGGAAAAATGTTAAAGGCCACAATTAAGGCATCAGAAAAAAGTATACAAGCACGAAAAAGGGGAATAGTTCATCAATGCAACTCATGAAGTATAATAATCTCTCAATAGCGACTAAAACGAATCCATAAACTAACAAAAAAAAAACAATTAAGAACACATAAATATTGATCACACATATCAAACAAAGGATTTCAGCAACATATCGGTTTAACATCCTTGTGAAACAGGTCTGCTATTCCATATTTAGCTCTAAACAGCTTCTTTTCTCAAACAAATTTGTCAAGCCCCCTTATGTAGAGAGATTATAAAATGAATTATATAAACTAATTATTTAGGGCCCAAAATAATACAGATCATACAAGTTTGACCAAGTGGAGAAGCCATAATATGCTTTCCCTATGTTTCTAACAAAACCATCAAAAATATCTCCAAAATTGGAGCCAATAACAAATTCCATATACAAAATAATGATTTCCCACTACTTCCCTAAAATTGAACAATCTTAAAAAAAAAATTCAGAAGACAAAAGTTTCCAATCAAATAGAAAATATCAATTTTCTTTTACCTCCTTAATATATTTCGTTTATTCATATAGCTATTTTTGAATTATTCCTTTACATTCTTTTCTCGACAGCCAACAAACAAAATACATAAACAATCACCAAGATTTGAAAAACACCTCAAATTTTCCACATTTTTTCAGCAACGAAACAGAGCATATTTGAAGAGCACAGCCAAACACACATATATACATACATTACCTGAAATTCCCTCACCATTTCTCATCAATGAAACAGAGCACAAGTAAATCCAATTAAGCAAAGAATTTTCCAAAACGGATAACATAAATGGCCATAAACATTGTGGAAAACACTGAATTGAACTCAAACACATACATAACCAGAAACAAAACAGATATATTTAAAGAGCAACCAGCAGTATCAAATATAAATAAATTCCGAAAGTATCGTTCCAAATTTTCCCAATTCTATGAACTGTATACAAGTTATATAACATACTTACAATAAATTTCCAAATTCCAAAAGAAACCCATAGAAATCATAAGAATTAGAAAAAAGAGATTGTAGTCAAACCTTCCAACCACCATAGCTAGGGTTTTGATGTAGCTATCAATGATCTCATCTCTGGTAGGCTCACCCTCAGGCTTCTCCATAACAATGAGCCAGTGCTCGAAATCACATCCATCGAGCAAAATAGTCTCCTTAGGGGGCCGATTCGACCAGTTAGGGTTCGGATCATTCAGAGATGAAGACGTCTGACGAGTCGCGAAGCCCCGAACAGTAGTCTCCGCCGGAGAGAGGTTGCGTATGTTGGCGGCGATAAGTGGTCTAAGCCTGAGTAGAGAGAAAGTAGAGAGAGAAGGAGGTGTAGTAATAGTAAGAGAAGAGTAGGAGCGAGACAAGGCCGAAGAAATGGTTTGTTTGGTGGTGGTGAGCAGAGAACGAGCCAAGAACCGAGTCGCCATTTCCAGGGGTCTCTGTGGTAAAACCCTAGAGGACAGAGTGAAAGAGAGAGCAAGTGATGAGAATATGAGGGTTTTGGGATTTATATATTAAAAGAATTTATGGAAATGCCCCTGGAATTTATCGAAATTGCATAAATATCTTCGTTATCCGGGATCTTTGATCGTTGTCTGTGTTCTCACATGTAAGATGGGTTGCAATAGGCTGTCAAGTGTCAACGAGATTGTCCAGCTTCGGTTTATTTAAATTTGAATCAAAATTAACTCTCTCGATAGATGAAAGGTGTTTTTGGGCAATAAGTTTGGGTAGGGTAGGATTTTTTTTTCTTATATATTAACTCATTCAAGTCTAACTTACTCATTTATTTTAAAATATTAATCTTAGAATATATTCAATCGTAATTTTTGTATGACAAACAAATGTCTAATTCAGTGGCTCCATAAATTATACAAATAATTTTGGATTAGTTTACTATTTTATCCATGACTCTATCAATTCCAATTCAAACCAATCTTATTCTATGTTTGGATTGGTGAATTATCCTAATAAAATATATATATATATTACTTAAAGAGTGAGGATACATGAAAAACATTTATATTTCGTTTTTACCGTTAACTATTAATATAAAGTCAATCATATCTACTATGTCTTTTGATCTTCCCTTAGCATTAAATTGATTAGCTGCATTGTTCAACAAGCAATGTCAGTGCACGATCATCTGATTATATTTAATTTCCTTAAATTAACTTTAAACGTTTACAACTAATTGTCTCCCACAACAAATAAATATTTCTTAGTTGATACAAAAATTGTTGTTCTTGATCATCTTCTCTATCTTTCATTCTCTCATTTCTCTATTTTGTTATATTTCAAAATTTTGGCTCTTTGTTGTATCAATTTGTGGGAATCTATCAACAATCTTATCGATCCTCCAATTACTTTCAACTCACCAATTTTTTGGAATATGTGTGAATAAAATGAAAACAAAGAGAGAAGAAGAAGAGAATATAATGGCTGAGGACTCCAAGAGGCAGAAGCTGTTTCATGAGCTTACTGAATTTCTTTTTGAGCACATCTAATTATTTATGAGGTGGCAGTGGCTTTTTGTGCTTTTATTTGCAAATGCATTTGACTTTTATAGTTTTTTGTTTGCAGGTTTTGGATTTTGATTTCGAGAAGTTTTGTTCTATTTCTCTTTCGAATTTGAATGTTTATACGTGTTTTGTCTGTGGGAAGTATTATCAAGGAAGATGCTAGAAATCTCATGCATACACTCATAGTCTTGAAGTAGGACACCAAGTTTACACAATCTTCTAACAGAGAAAGTTTATTGCCTTCCTGATGGATATGAAATCACTGACTCTTCATTAGATGACATTCGACATGTTCTTAACTCAAGGTTCACTAATATTTAGCTCTAATTGCTTTTTACATGTAACAGATTTTTTTATCCCTTTATATCTTTGCTAATAGTTTATATTCCTATTTTGATTAATTTCCTCGTTCGATTTCTTTGATATTATTGTACAGGTTTACTCAGATGCAAGTTCAACAACTTGATAGAAATATGCAATGGTTTAGGGCACTTACTAATTCTGATATTTGTTGCTATTACTATGACATTTCATTCTTGTTATTCATTGATATATTCTGGACAATTTTGAATATAAACTTAGACAATCAAGTGTCCAATTTCACCATTCTCTAGTGCTAATTATAATCTAATGGCTCCGACAATTTTTTTAGGTGAGACTCAATAACATTAGAAAGACTGAATTTGTGAATGTTACAATTAAATCTTTAATGAGAGTTACTCCATTAAGGAAATTTTTCCTTATCATTAAAAATTATCTACATTGCAAATCTACACTCATCCTTTGATTTGGAGAGCTCACTCGAAAGAATGGGCATTCAAGGAACTTCAAGGGACAGGTTTGTTCCTGGTATAATCAAACTTTAACAGTGACTTTTGTTCATAAAATGCGTATACTTAACATTTTTTGTGTCTCCAAGTGAGCTTACATGAGTTTCTATAGGCAGTTATGGACTACTTACAATTTTGACATCTTTATGTTTTTTTTTTCTTTTGAGCATATAATTAAAAGGGGCTGACATTGATTTGTGTTTAAAAGTATATGTAGTGTCTACATCAATTAGGTTTATGAATGTATTATCTTTCTTTATTTCCTTAGCCAGGTGTTTCACATGACACACAAGGAATATACAAAAAAAAAAAACCAGATTGTCACTTTTGGGTAATAGAAGCTTGCGATATCCCATTAACTAGGGAGGCACATCACATAATAACAGCAAATCGAAATAGTGAATCAATTGCAAGCTAAAAAGCATGTATACTTCTCGAGGGTGTCGTGGCAGTGTTGGACATAACTAGACATATGTCCAAAACAGCTAGAAGTATCCTGAATAATGAGTTCAGTCGAACACGTCCAATGTTTTTTTTTTAAATGATTGTAGCTTGGTGTGTGTGTGTGTGTGTTTTTTTTTTTTTTTTTTTGTGTTTTTGGTTATGTAACTTATGTAGTATGAATGTTAATGTATGTAATGATGTGTGGTAAAAATTATGGATGTTTATTTTGATCTATTTTCATTTTAATCAAAAAAATAATATTTGTTATATCTTATTATTAATATTATTATAAAATATGCTTTATTTTTAATATATTATAATTTTATTATTGTCTAAATATATATTATATTATTTTAATTAGTTATATCTTTGACATACGTGCATCTTATATATTTGAACTTTGTCATATCCCAGTGTCTGTATCGTATTAGATATATATTTTGTTTACAAACTAATGGTAATCTTTTTCCTTCTCACACTTGAGTCTTGATTTTTTTCCCTACAAATGTTGAATGCATGACAAAATGTTGGGTTTTAGTTATAACCAATTCAGCGAGTATACTAGGTGCAGATCTGAACATCTCCAACTATGTGTGACTTGACTAGATTTTCAAACCATAATCTTATGGTAAAGTGGTTAATGCGTCAAACTAAACTATGCAGTATGTATTGTCATTTCAACAAAATTTCTTGCCTTTCTACTTGCACAAGTAGATAATTTAGTTTTCAATTTTCTATGATCAATACTTTCACTTAGTTGCTGAAAAAATACAAGACCTGACCAAAAACTTGGAAGTTGATTTCTAGGTTCTCAACTCAATAAAATTGAACATCGATTCTTATATTCTCTACTTTATGTGGTAATTGTAATATTACCTTCTGAAAAAAGGCGTAATTGTAGTATTATGTCTATTTAGGTGGAAGCTAATTTGAATTTTTATGTAGAAAGTAAGTGAATTTGGATGTTAGCGATTGTAGTACTTTTATAAAGTAAAATTTGTGCTTTGATGGGGGAATTATTTATTGAAATGAATACTAGTTATTTAAAATCAAATAGAATTTTATGAGAAAATCATATAATTATGAATGGAAAAGAGCACAAAATAAAGATGAAGATATTATCTCGATTTATTTGTAACGTAGGAAATTCGGCCAAATCGATTGAGTTTCCCATGATACATTTATAAGTTTTAGACATCAAGAAACTCAACCAATTGGCCAATATGAGAAATTTTATGAATGAGACATCAATTAAGATGTCTAATTAGCTATTTATTTGTCTTTTAAGAGAGAGATTCTCTCCATGACTTCCATTTTCTTTTAATTTTACTATTATAAACTATTACAAAGGTTTTCTATATAACTTCTCTTTTTCTATAATTAACTATTAATTTTTTGTTAATTTTGGTTAACAGAAGACATTGAATTTTATTTAACTAAAAACTTGTCATAGGGCAAGAGCTATTTTTGAATTCTATTGAGTGGGTAATGATGAAATTATACAGAATTTCCAATATATATAAATAGTAACAAAACAACACTAAACCTCTCTTTGGGTGCAATTCGTATTTTGTTATTGCTAACCACTCAAGTAGTTTGGAGTGACAACAAACTTCAATTATAGATAACTAAATTCAATTAAAGGAACACTCTGCTTAAGTGGAGTTGCATGATTCCTCTTTTAAATTATTAGGCTAATTTAAGTTTGTTATGCCATGGCAAAAAAAAAGAATGTTTAATTGATTTTGTGACAAGAGTGCAACAACAATAGTTATCATTCACGCAACATACTCACGCAATAGTTGGAGAAAATCATGACAAGCACAAACACTCAAATGGAAGCAAGGAATACCTCCTCCGAGAAGTAGAAAGCCAGAGTAAGGTTCTCAAGATAAAAAGGATGCATCAAGAAGGGGTCCAAGAGCAAATTGGAAATATTCAAACTTGAATATGAGGAGTTCTTGAATTATCTCAATCAACATGTGATAATTCTCCTTTTGATTTTGTTGAAGTTATCCAAAACATGAGTTTATTAGTGAACTATTGATTCTAATTCTTGTTTTTTGACTATCTGCATAATTATTTTCGTGAATACTAAATAATGTATACCACCTAACTTATAGACAACATCTAACTAGCAAAGAGAGTTCAAAAACTTGTCTACAAAAGCTGACAAAGACACAACGAATCTGTATGATTTATTGGAGTTCATGATTTTTAACATCAACAATGAATAATATTTGATGCTCGAAATGGTCCACGTGCAATGCACGTGTGTACCAACTAGTATACATAAAAATATATAAAAATAAAATACGAATTTTTTTTAGGAAAATTAATAAAGGGTAGACCATGTATATTAGATTCAAATAATTGAATATAAAAAGCCAACTCTAACTATGTAGTAATGAGTTGCCAGCAACCCAAGATTGGATCAATCTCAAAGAGGTGTACTAACATACGAGTAATACATAATAGTTACATATTAAATATACGTAATTTTAATAAATGTTGCCTCATACAAAACATAAGGCAACGTGGTGAATATTTGTTAACAATAATAAGTGAAATTAATGTTGTCTTATATAATACATAACAAAATGCAGCAACATTATACTGGCCTAATCAAAG